AAGCGGCGAGAGCCCAAAAGAAATCGAGTTTGTAATTTTGTTTTGGAAATACAATGTTTTACAAGCATAAATCTTCATGTCTTTGTTGGGCCTAAAGCCCAGAGAATGTTATTGGTGGAGAGCCCAAAATAATATTGCTTTGTAAGAATATCTTCTCGTCTTCTGAAGGGACGAGAAAGCCGAGACCTCGTTGGTCAATGGTCTCTAATTCTGAGAGTTTCCTGTTGATCTGAACCAATAAGTCGTCACGGTGCTCCGGCGAACCACAGTTGCAACATGTCAGAAGCTAGTCGTGGTTGTAGATCTCGAAGAGATGATGCTCTATTACGGATGATCGAGGAAGAGGTCCTAGCTGTTTGGCGGTGCAAGCGGTTGTTTCTTTCCGACCAGATAGAGTAGATCGTAGCCTGCCAAGCAAGTAGTAGCAGTTTCCGTTGCGGAACGGTCCCTGAGTAGTTGATCAACATTTGTTGCACATCAAGCCAATTCCTTGGAGAACTGATCTGGCATCGAGCAGAATTGACACTCCAAATAGCCCAGGAGAAGTCACATAAGAAGAATAAATGGTCACGACTCTCTCGGGCATTGTTTCAAAGCATGCAATTTGGAGGAGTTTGAAGCCCCCCGTGAAGCAATCTGTCTCTAGTAGGGCTCCGGTTTAAGACCATTAGCCATGTGAGAAATCGATGTCCAGGAATTCCACCAGAAAACCAAACTTGCTGATGCCAAGGCACTTGTTGGATCTGTGGTAAATTTCTCCAATTGAAAAACGATTTCTCTTAATTCCATTTGGCCACCACTCGTAAGAGTCTTCAATTGCAGATAAAACAACAGTTGTTAGATAGCAAATGCAAATTTACTTGTCTGTCCGATCTTGCAGGAGGCACGTTCCAGTGATCATTCCTCCAAAGATCACATAGTGAAGCATTTGAGGAGATACCGAGGCGGAGAGGACGACCAGAAGACTGATACGTTTGAGCAGACTCATCCTCCTTTACTCTACCAGTACCGAAGAAAGAAGAATAAGAACAAGGGCCGGACTCACCAGGCCCACTAAGGATCTTCCTCGGATCAGGAGAAGACGGCTGGTTCTAGAAGAGGAGTCATGAAGGACACGTCACGAGGGAAGAAAAGCGTGAGTAGAGAGTGGGAGTATTTAGCAGAGAGTTTGTTGCATTTTGTGAGGTATCTTTTTGGTGAGACCAAGTTGTTGAGAGAGGAGAGAGGGAACTCCTATAATATTCCCTGTGTTTGTAAAACGCTTGGGAAGAATCGATGAATAAAGCTTGAATCATCTCTTTATTAATCGGATTCTAACAGGTTTTACATTACAAATCGTAACAGTGGTATCAGAGCTCATTTTCCGATCAAAGGGAAAATGGGTCCTAAACCGGACCAACGTATTGCGGCTATGGAGACACAGATGACTGAATTTCAGAAGGAGTTGGAGGCACTGAAGCTTACCTCGACGACGACCATGAGTGTTCTGGAATGAATCGAGCGGAGGATCGTCGAAGTCGCGGTGACACAACAACGTGAGAAAGAAGAGCCTCCGATCGTTGACCCAGAGAAGGTGATTGCCGCGACACCAGTGTTTGTCCAACGATCGGGCAAAGAGGTCACGGGGGATGCAACAGCTTGTGTACTGGGTTCTCAACGGGAGAACATTACCGGAGAGACTCAGGCGGGAGCGTTGCTTCAGCAGATCTGGCGACCACTGGAGACGCGGGATGAACCGATGACG